ATTGAATCTCCCAACCCTCAACCTTTTGATTAATACAGAACAGCATCATTGTGTATTCAGCATTAATACAGCGCAGTGTATACTAAACGGGATATCGTTTAAACGGAAATAAATCGAAAAGATGATTTGTTTCACGCGTCACCTCATTTCACATGACTTGTATCAATTTATTTCTATTATAAAAATCCCTTGTTAGATGAAAGACCGATCAATGTGTATTTATTTCTTGCGATGAATTTGAAGAATCGTATTCCTCCCGTTATTTTTTTAATTTTAATTTTAATATATTTGTAATCAAACTTATCATATTTTTGGAAATTGATTGTAGTATAAGTATAGCACAAGTAAACAAAAAATAAATAAATAAATACTCGTAAATAATAATAAACACACAATTAATAGTCGATGGTTTGGTTAATAGTAAATATAATCGAAGTTTTTTTTTTCAATTTGCATTGTATGTCATAAAATATTGATATTGTCACAGATTATGTATTTTTTAATGTCAAACAAACTGTCAAGTGAAATTCGTATGATGTAATCGAGATAATTTAAAACGGGTTTGTTAGTACCACGTCATTTTTTGTTCTGCTCGAAATTGAATTGAAAAATAAAAACGACAACTAAAATAATAATAATAAACGGAAAAAAAATTATAGCTATTTACCATCGTTATAAAAATGTATCATTCATATTGTAATATATTATGTATATGTTTGTGAACAAGGTGATTCCTTATTAAACGTACTGTACAAATTTTCTCAATGAATTTAATGGGGGTTTTTTTTTTTAAAAAAGAGCGTAGTTCTTAATGCACTATATTTTTTCATGAACAAACGAGTATCGCTTTATCTYAAGGGAGTTTTCTTAAGTATTATATTTTCCTCCAATTGAATGTCAAATTATTATTATTTTCTTTTTTATATAAGATAAAGATATGAAAAAATCCATTTTCAGTTAAAAATGCAAACTTGGTCATCAAGCTGCCTTTTGTTTTCTAACCTCAGTTTTATTTACACTTGTCCCTTAACATGTGATTCAATATTTACGATGAATTAAATTGTATATACAACAGATAAAAATAAAAATACTTTATTAATTATTACTTAATAATTTTTGTTGGGATGTACCTTACATTTCTTTTGTGTAGCTTACGTTCACGTTTACATAAAAATCATATTAGTGTTACAAATTACTGTACCTACCTATATGTAATCAAAATTAATGATGGTATTCACCATAACAGTTATTGTGACAAAATAAAACGGTCCGTAATACAATGATAATAATAATTGTGACAAAATTATCAATAATTTTTTGTATAATCAAGTTTTGGATATATTGTCGTGCTGTAATGATCACGCGACTTGTGTTCCTTATTAAATAGTACTTAATATATAGTAAAATATTTAATTAAAAGACTAAATTCAATCACGCGAGCATGTCATACTTAAGGATTTAACAACTTATCACTATAGTAATTTAAATAATGAATTCCAGAAATTCCTTAGGATAAACTGGTGCACCACGAATGTGTACAGATTTGTTGGTATATCCTTCCCATAAGTTATTATTTACGGCAATAAACGTAATAACAAATAAGGGGAAACATCAGCTTTGGGGTAAAAACAAACCATGATCGGTATTTATCGACTACGGTCCAAAAAAAATTGTAAACCGATATATAACAAATTGGTTATGGACATCGAATTCCTCAAAACTAACCCTATTAATTTTTTTAATMGGAAATTTATACCAGTTTTCGATGCCAAATTTCTAAATGTCGTTTTAACGACACATTACACATTCTGTATATGTAGGTAGAAAAGTTAAGGTCTAAATATTTAGTAAATATTTAATTCTAAAAATGTATTTTMTATTTAATATTCATAAACATTTCACACAAYGTTAACGCTCACGAAAGATATATCTAACTATCTTACGTCACAATAACATAATAGTAATAATAATAATATATGTGACCTATACCAATACCTTGTTTACTGTTGAAATGCATGATAAAATATATTCATCATTTCTTCTGCTTACAAATTACACGTAATTTATGAATCAGATCAGAATAGTCACCGATTTCCCGATTCCATTCTTCCCGATAAATTGTGCAGTTTGTATAAATCATCAAATATTTTACAGGCTGTTCTAGAAAAAATATTGAAATAGSAATATTAACATTTTTACACTATAACAAACAATGGCTTAAACATTATATTAAAATACAATAATATACCTTTTCCCATAAATCTAAATTACTTTGGATATTTAAGATCTAAGTCGGTGTAGTCCATGGGATGYATGCCTTAATTTAATTCACTTCAACTATCTCTCTTCAGTCTCTTCTGATCCGATCGTACAAAAATTTTAAATCCACTTATACATTATAACCTGCGTTGTATTTACGCTTTTTAATTGAAAATTTTCAGTAAATTTAATAGGGTTTCAAATTAAATTAACATATTAAACTGAATAATTCTCCATATAACAATATAATATTATGAAAGGTAGCGTAAAAATTATTTGTATTTTACATTTTTACGCATATATTTTTGTAATAAACTTATATTGGATAAGCAAAATAAATATAAATAACTCGATGTTGGTTAAGGTTTTCTCGATCAACGTTCATAGATTTTTGTTATTTATTTATTTATTATTATTACTTTTTTTTTGTTTATAGCAAATACTTTTTTGACGATACTAAATAGTGTACGGCAGCTAAAACGTATTTTTAAATCGTAAAAAACCAAGTTTAGTACAACATATTGTATGGGTGACTATGTTTCGGAAACCTATAACTTATAGTTAGGTACCCATCTTTCTAGTACTCATACGTGACGATAATAAAAATATGTAGGTTTTCCTCTTCTCGTAGTGTAATTCATTCGTTCATCTTGGCTTTTGTCTGACGTCACAGGTTACCAAAATATATTTAAAAATCAGTGTAGTCACTCACGACTATATAATATGGAAATAACCAAATTTTAGTGATTATTAATGCTTGAGAATAAATTATTGAATAAAAAATATAATGATGAAATAACCAATAAATTTAATTTGTCTTAAATACCTATACACTTTATTTTATAAACGTGAATGCGCTTTGCTTATATGCAGTCGTCAATGAGTATCAAAAATTAAGCATTAACATCTGGCTTAAAGGCATTTAAATGAATTAATGATTTACAACCAAATGTATTAGAATGTTTTTTATTCAATATTATATGATGATCGATGTTATCGATATCGTGCATTAAAACTGATATTTTATTGTCCAGTTATTATTTTTCCTGCCTTATCCTCTATAAAATACTCACTCACGTTAAGCTTTTTATTRTATGCATTTGTTAATCCTGGAAATAGTGTTAATTTAATGTTATAAATCAAATTTAATAGTAAATGMGCATCAGCTTAATATGGATTAAAAGGCGTTATATTATGTGCACCTAAATTCCCAATTAACTTAATACACATTGATTTTAATGCGTGATTTTGGGTGCATAATATAAATGTGGTCTACTATATGTGTATGACTGTAGGTCAATAGGTGACGAGGTAATAAAAAAAAAATAAAAAAATTATAGACCATAATTTATTATTTAGAGATTTTGTTGAAAATTATTTTTTTACAATAAATTAAAATAAAACAGTAGAGAATAGAATGATAGAAAAATTATCATGTTCATTAAAATAATAATACGTACGTGTATATCTTTATCCATAAATATGTCTTATTCGTGTGTAGTATACAAAATATTACGCAGAACGATTTCATTAAGTGAATTTTATAAGATTTGCGGTGTTTCGTAGTGTGTTTTTCATAACTTTTGATGTAAACTTGAAAATAATCGTTATTCTGCAAATTTAAAATTTATCCAATTAAGTTTATATTCCAAAAATCATAGCAACAATAGTAAGCGATTTTATTACAAAACTATACACATTTCCCAATTATTCTTGTACCACGCATTCTCACAACATCATTTTTGTAAACATCTAGTTATACAACATTATCAAGGCACTTACACTTTAAACAATTAATTTTAATAWAATATTATTATTAGTAAAACTATTCTAACATTATAGCTACTCATAGTTTTCGCATGAAGAATGTTTTCATTGTTATTTATTGTGTTAAAATCACGCCGAAATTCTTTGTAAACATATATTCATAATGGACTTTGAACAATGATAATATGCTTTTTCATCTAAAACCATGAGTTTTTTATTTTATTTGGTTTTCTTCTTTAAATCGTGATACCCAATACCTACAATTAATATTGTACTATGCAGTAATGGTGTTCTAAATCAATATTTTACAGTAGAAATACGCATTCTCATTTATAGTGGAGTTTAAAGAATGGATAAAATCGTCTGAATATTTTATTCATTTTTCTAAGAATTTAWCTGGTGTTGTAAAATAAAATAATTATATTAAACTGCGTTTATTTTTGAAAATATGATACATTTAAACAGCACGTACGCATTCACCATTCGCGCATATCAATGAAAATATTCTCGTAAAAAAATTGTTTTAATGCATTTATCATCTGTCTGAATAAATATTAAAAACTTAGATAGGAAAATGTAATTTTTCTTAATGTCAAACTGATTTACTGCACCATAGGTGACATCACATATGTGTGTGTGTGTGTGTCCCCTTTTTTCTTCTTCGAAATAATTGTTTTCTTTCCATAATTCTTAAATATTTCACATAAAACTATAACAAACTAAAATACACTACCTACCTATAAATAATTTGAGGTTTACACGTCATGGACATCACAAACGGAATTTTATGTTAGGTAGTTGATAATCAGGTGGCATGGTGTCATTATATATTATA